ACTCGACTACTATCTGTTAGCACTCGACTACTATATGTTAGCACTTGGCTACTATATGTTAGCATTCAGCCTATGTTGGGAATGACTCTGCTACTGTTAGCACTCGACTACTATATGTTAGCACTTGGTTACTATATGTTAGCATTCAACATATATTGGGAATGACTCTGCTACTGTTAGCACTCGACAACTATGTTAGCACTTGGCTACTATATGTTAGCACTCGACTACTATATGTTAGCACTTGGCTACTATGTTAGCACTTGGCTACTATATGTTAGCACTTGACGTATAAAATGGGGAATATTCTTGGCTACTGTTAGCGCTCTACATGTGAGATTCTCGGCTACTATGTTAGCGTTCGGCGTTGGGGATGACTCTTGGCTACTATCTGTTAATACTCGGTGTACTGGGGATGATTCTCGACAACTGTGGCTGAGTGGTTAGAGCAGTCGTCCTCCAATGCGATAGTTGGGGTTCGAATCCACCAGCAGTCACATGTCGAAGTGTCCCTGGTTAAGACACTGAACCCCTCAAAGCCTCTGATGTGTGTCCCATCGGTGTATGAATGTGATAAAGCTCTGATTAGTCTCTTTAGAATGATTTGTTCAATTAGCTTTGTAGAGATCTAGTAGAGTGTTGTATGAACGGGTAAATGAGGACACATGTTGTGTAAAGTGCTTTGAGTATCTTGAAACAAGATGGAAAGGCGCTATATAAGTACAGTCCATTTACCATTTAACTGTTGGCATTCAGCATACGTGTTGGGAATGACTCAGCTACTATGTGTTAGCATTCGGCATGTGTTGGGGATGGCTCTCGGCTACTACCACAAATTTTTAGCACATCTGAAAAAGCTGGTTGATTTACAGCCATCTTTGTGTTGGTCAGTCAACTTCCTCTGTTGTCTGAGCCTTTCAGCCAAGTCCTTCCAGTGGCTTGAGATATTTTGCTAACAGACATCAACAAACACCTGAAGTATCTTTACTGCGTCTTTAAGAAATGATTGCAGAAAATAAAAAAACAAAGTTTAGTTAGACACGTGGTCGTTTTATTGTAAAAACATGAAATCTACAGGATGTAATCTGAACCCGGATTTTCAGATTACACCGTTCTTCCTGATTGTTGTCAGTTCATCTCCACTGACGTCCAAACGCTCAAACATTTATAAAAAATTAATAAAAATAGTGTAACTCTTTAAACTCAGTTCTTCAGATGTATCTACATATAAACATTCAGCAAACCGGGTCGCAGTTTTAAACCGAGAAGTCCAAACGTGGAAACACTGACAGGAAAACGGTTTGAATAGAAAACGCCACTTTTGATTAAAATAAGCCGAAGCTGCCTGCCGGACAAACGCACCAATCAAACGAGCCGAACTTTGACCCAGATTAAATCACTGGGTTTGTTTTATTTGGGATGAAACCTGCCGGCTGCTGCGCTCGTTCATCAAACAGCATCAAATCTCTCTGATCTACCTTCAAGTCAAAGTTTTTCCTCTGTCGGCTGCAGCAGCGTCAGGAAATCCCTTCGTATAATGCTCGGTGACTTCGCTTCCTGATGACGTCACTCCAGACCAATAAAAAGTGAGTTTTCAAACTGTAAACAAAACCAGCTTGTTTCCCAGTGACAAATCTCCACATTTCAACAAACGCTCAGAATTTTAAAATAAAGTAAAAAAATTAAAAAAAGAACGTCCTCGTTGGGACTCTCTTTGCGAGCGGCTCAGATTTTTCTGAGAATGAACTTCTGTGTAGTTTCTGTTAAAAACGGCTCGAGTTCAAGCAGAGACGGAAACGTTTTTCACCGATGAGTAAATTAATATTTAAAACACGTTAATGATCCTAACGGCAGTTTTGAAGCTGTGACTGGTGAGAGGTTTGTTTGTTGCTCTAGTCGGTGTAGCTAAACAAACATGGCGGAACGGGCAAGCGAAGCGTCTGGGAGGAGGCGTTCGGGTGCAAATATAGAAGTGAATCCGCTGCGAAAGACGGGAACGAGTCAGACGACTGGGAAGAATAAATATCAGATCGGCTTTTATGAAACTTCCTCTTGGCCGGTAAATTTAACCCATGTTTTAATCTGCGTGTGTTACTCAACAAGTCAGAGCGTAAATCTGCACAAAACAGCTCTTCCATGGTCATCATCGTTGTTCGCCTGTTTTCAGTCCCTTCGGCCGTTTCCATAGCTAAACGGCTGAAAAGCAATTTATGGCAACCAGTCACGAATTTTGTTTGAAGCCAAATTAACCGCCTTCAATATGAGAAAAATATTGTGCCGTTTTTGTTTAACTTGTCCGTCTTCATAAGTTTGCAGAGGCCGCTCGCAGAAGGCGGCGGTCGACGTGAAAGTCAAAGCGGTGAAAATGAAGTCGCCATTTTTTGATTAGAAACACCAAACGATCGTCGGTGCAAACGCCAGCGACAGACGAGCGTTTAGTCGTGACGTCACTCCTCAGATTGAGTTCGTCTTGAGCTGAACGCGTCCTGTAACACATGAGGCTTTTATTGTGAAGGACAAAGTTCTGAGTGTCCCTGCAGAATAAAACTCACTTTGAACCATTTAAGAAAAATAAATGTGTTTAAAAATGTGCAAATTTGTCTTTTTTCCTCAATATTTTGACTTTAATCTTGAACCAAATCAATAATTTAATACGTTGTGAAAACGTTGGGACTTATATTGTGTGAAAAACTAATTTTCCTACATTTAGATGTAAAAGTTTCGCCTGTAAAGAGAAAACTCGAGGCACAGACTAAAGAAAATAAATTATTTTCAGCTTCACAGTAACTCCTACCCTATTACGTTTTTTCACATTCTGTTAAGCAGTTCAGAAGCAGTTTGTAAACAAAAACAATAAAAAATAAATGTTTTAAATAACAATATAGTTGGACTGCGCTCCAAATGTCAGCACAAAGAGTTTCTGAGGACCGACGTGTAGACGGACAATGCAAAGGTTTTCAGAAACGCCTCCGCAGCCGATTTTCACTTCAAAGTTGTAAATGATTAGTTTAACAGTTTTTATTTATGTCTGTCTTGTTTTGTCCTAATCCTGATAAAAAAGAGAGAGATAACGTATTAAAGGAAAAATGTGAGGATCGTTACCTAAATTCAAAATGTTCCGAGTTCTGGTGTTGCGCGTGTGGACCGTCGTCGCCCCCTTGTGGCGCGGCGTGAGCATTTCAGCGTTTTTGTTGAAATGTGCGGGACAAGATAAATGTTTGTAGTGTAGACGGGTCCTGACTCGCTGACTTGGACCGGAGAGACCGGCAGGTACATTCCAGACAGGCAGGTGCTCGGGAACACGTCTTTAGAGGTTTACCTGTCCGTGAGGCCCTCGTACTCACCTGGTTGGTTCACTCAAACCACCGTAAGAATCCAATGTTTTAAAACCGTTTTTATTGAAATAAGTTCTGGTTTACTGAGAAACTTTGTCTCCGTCTGCAGCCTCGATGCCCAGCAGGGCCTGGACTGCCTCCAGAGGAACTCCCTCCGGGGTCTGAATGTGCATAGTAGTCCCGTCGGGTCCGTTGACGATGACGATGCCGTCCGATCCCGGCTCTGCCAGCTGGACTGTTAGCTGCTCGGTCTGGATGTAGATCTCTTGGCCCTCCTGCAGCTGCTTGACCTCACATGATTCAGGCTGGACCGTGTCGTCCTGCTGGGGCTGAGAGGGGGTTGTGGTCTGATCCGAGCTGGACGCGGTCGTCTTTGTGGTATTCTCAGAACTTGCACCCGGAGCGTTCTGTAGTTCTGTCGTCTCGTCTGCAGCGTCGGTGGTGCAAGGGTCCTGGTCCGGGTTTGTTGACCCTTCTTCCTGCACCTCCATCGGAGTGGCAGGACGTGGAGCTGTGCTGGAGGTCGTCTGAGCAGAGTCAGCCTCGAAGGAGCTAAAGAACCACGAGAAACACATTCAGGCTTCAGCAGACCAGATCAGCTAAACAAGTCCAGAACTCTGAAACAGGGTCTGAGACTCAGCCAGGGTACTTTGTGTCCAGCTCTGGGTTTTTCATGGTGGGGGTCATCTCACCTGGAGGTCGAGTCAGCAGACGTGGTTTTCAGTTTGTAGTCATGTGAGATCACCAGAGGGGAGACGGTGACTGAGCAAGGTTTCAGAGGGGACACTGCTGGAGGGACTGAGGTCACTGCGACGCCACCTCCTGAGGAAGAAAAGGTCAAAGTTGAGATTCGACCAGGAAACTGCAACAAGCGCCCAAAGGTAAACGCTTCACACTTAAAAATACAAACGGCTCCTCCATGAGTGTTTCATCCCTTCCGTCACAGATATACGCACAATCCTTTCGGGACAAGCAAAGGCCTTGTATAACCTTTGACCTTGATTTGTGACCTCGATCTTGACGCTGGGGTGATGAAAAGATAACCTGACAAGCCGTGTAGTGGTGGTACAAATTCTTATCAAGGTATGTGCGAGACACAAGAACGCTGATGGACATACGGAGACTTGCCAGGCGTATAAAAAGGGTTTCGCCTAAGGACACGTTGGCACGCTGCAAGGACGAGTATCCAACTCCTGATCACTCAAAGCCAAAGCTGCCTCCAACTACAGTAACCAAATACCGGCCACTAAAACGGCACGTTGTAAAGTTGTACCTGTTTGTGGAGATGGAGAGCCTCTCTGGTCGTCTGTAATGCTGTTTTCCATCTTAAATCTCTTCGACGGTGGCAACATCTTAGAGTTCTGGGAAAAACAAACAAAAGAAAGATCCTGGATGAGTCTGGTCTTTTTATATTTTAAATCACAGTACTAGAAGTCCAGAACAATGAAACGAGTCCTCTCAGGGGTCACTGGGACACTCTGTTGAACATGTTTTAGATGTTTCCAAAGCTACGACGACGAGGAAAACTCTTTACAGAAACTACATCCTTTAGGTTTCTTGGCTACTTGAACCTTCAGTTCCTTTATCGAGTTCTTCCAGGACTGGAGACTTCTTTAGCCACAGCGTAGCTGCCGTGTCGGTGGACAGGTGGTTTTATAATGGGCTGGGTTGAAGGTGGTCAAAACTTTTAAATCAGTTTATAACTTTCATGCATCTGCTGGTGGTTGATAGTCTCTTCCTCCACTCCTCAACTTTGCTAATTTTATGCTCACCCCCATGTACCGGACGTTCTTATTAGTCAGACTAGAGGCAGGCGATGCTCCGGGAACCACCTTCATCCGGTTCACCTCATCCAGGATCCCCAGAGACCTGGCGACCTGAAACAGGAAATCCAGAGCAGAACAGAACACTGGTACCACGCCATCACACTATGATCTGCAGCAGAGACAGAACCCGAGCTCTCTCACCTCGATGTTCCGGACCTCCACAGGCTTGTCTCCGCTCTGAGGACTCGTGATGTACTCCTGAGCGGCCTGTCTGACCTGAGCCTGCAGGGACTCGAACTCACGGTAAATGTCTGGGAAGCTAGCGCACGTTGGACTCTTGCAGTCCACCTGAAACGACCAGAGGACACAAAGCAGTGTCTGAGAAACCCCTGCGGGTCTGAGTTCAGAACACGCACGGAGCAGACTACAGTAAGAGGGACCTGATCTGACGCATCAGGAAAGTAGAGGCAGAACTCTGATTTCAAATAACCTTTGAGGTTTTCAGCACCAGTGTCTCTGCAGATGTGTAACATCACGGTAAAAAATAATATAAAATGAGCCAGGTCTGAAATGATTTAAGAACTGCCAGGTCCTTCTTTATTACCATTAAAACTGTAAAAATACCATTTAATAGTTTGTAAGACAGTTTGTTGCAGCTCCTCAGACTGATGAAGACTTTCGGATGAAAGACGAAACGTTTCAACACAAAGAAACCGTCCAGAGGACCTGACTTAACTTTGTTGGACCATTTAATAGTGTTAGCACGTCTTTGCCATATTTATTTATAAATAACTCTGCAACAACCTACAATATTGCGCAAAATTTTTCTAACCACCCGATTAGGCCCTGCCATATGAAAATTAAAGAAAAAAAGCCGGGCATATTGGTCTTTGGTGTCCACCTGATTCAAAATGGCCACCAGAGCAAACCTGGAAAACACAAAGAAACGACTAAACTTACAGCTATAATGAAAACGTTCTCTGTCAGTGACGCCCAAGACTTTAATGATAAGAGCCTTTAGTTCTTTGTTTGCCATAAATCATTGGTGAAAGTGTCTGTTAGCAAAATATTTCATGAACCACTTAACTGTTTGATGCCACAGCAAGTTCACAAATGGTTAGAACTCCTTTGTTTTAGAGAAATTGAGTTAATGTTTGATGGTAGTAGCTGAGAGCAATCCTTAACATCCTTATTGATAATCAAGAAATCAAGATGGCGGCTGAAGCCAATACAAAAACGGCCATAACTCGTAATTTTTTTTTTTATATATTCAAGATGAAGACAATAAATAAAACATGCACCAAGTGGCAGACCCTTTCAAAGTTTCATCAGCAACTTTTCTAGTTTCTACTCTGATTTCAAGGAGACAGAAATTTTATTTTATTTAGGTTTTGATCAACCTGAATTTTATTTTCCTCATTTCCTGTTCAGACCTTTGACCTTTACAGCACGTTGTGCACCTCAGTAATGAGACTAAATATGGTGTCGGCTCTACTTGGTGTCACTGGGACGGAACAGTTTGAAGGACAGCTGTCACAATAATGTTCTCGTTGAAAACGGCCTCGCTGTGGAACTGGAAGCTACAGAAAAACTTCTCACCTTTGCCAGAAGCAGCTCCCACAGACTCAACACTTTGGTCAAACGAGGAAGAACGACGTCGGTCAATTCTTCGACCTCACACTGCTCCACGAGCTGCAACGTATAAACACACAGCTGACATTTCTGTGCAACAGGTAAGATAGTTATTGTTCATAAACTTCCCACAGAACCCCCACTTTAAACGAGCTTAACGTTTAGTGCCCGCTCACCTCCTGCAGCCGGTCTCGTCTCCTCTTCAGCTGCTGGTCGGCCGTCAGTGGGACGACGCCGGTTCTCGGATATCGCCCTCGATGAACCGGTCTGCTCCCAAAGCCGCCTGCCGCCTGAGGGAGTCCACCAATCAGAGTAACGGGCATGATTATTAATTTACAAAAATTAAAAAGGCTAGTCCCTGCGGACAGGGTCACATTAGAAACTAACTCGTGCAGGTGAACGACTGTCGGAGTCAAACTGAGCAGCCAGCGGTTACTTTAAAGAGTTTAGTTGAACTGAAGCAGAATTAACTCACTGGTCCAAGAAACTGCCCCCGACCCCCGCCTCTCCTCCTTCCTCGTCCTCTGGGACGGCCGGGGCCCCGGTGACGGAGACCCCCGAGTCCTGACGCCGCCGTTGAGACGATTTCTGCCTGGAGAGACAGAAACAGGACAAAAGTCAAGGAATAACTTAAACTAAGGCCAAGCAGTCAATAAAATACTTTGTTACTGTAAAAATAAAGTATTTGATAACTGAGCAGCCAGTTGTCAACCAGAACAGTTTATCTCTGAAACAAACTGATCTGGTTTTACTTCACTCACCGAGAAATGAGCTAAAAGGATCCAAGTCTAACCTGAAGTTAACAGAAACACAACGGACTCCTCCGCGCCGTCAATCACCAAATCTAAACAAAAAGTTCAAGCTGCGAGTTTAAAAACTGGATCTCTGAGGTTCTGGATCAGCCAGGAGCTGCGGATCCTCACCAGTGGGATCTGATCTGGATCAGACAGGTGCGTGTTAACACAACACCAAAGTGGAAAGATGTCAGCAATGACCTCGGAGATCAATCTGTGAAGGGTCAAAGGTCATTTAGAGTCCATCCATCAGAGAAAGATTATTAACAAGTGGAAAACATTTCAGACAGCTGATTCACCCTGAAGGTCAGACCGTGCAGTGACTACAGGCCTCAGTCAGCAGGTCAAAGGTCATGGCCTCTTCTTTAAAAACAACATAGCAGTTTGAATTGGATAGTTTCTTCTGAAAGAACCACAAGACTTCTGGACCAGAACCAGACTAGAGGACAGATGTTTACCCAGAATGCAGTCACTGAATGGACCAGGAACTTCTCTGTAGACCAAAGGGTTCTGGAGTCAAATGTGGGTCCATCTGTCCAACAGCTGAAGCTTGGACCAAACTGGGCCCAACAGGACCATGACCCCAAACACAGCAGCTGATGTACAACAGAACGGGTCAGAAAGAACAGACCCGAGGTGCTGCAACAGTCCAGTCCGAGTCCTGAACCTCAACCTAACTGAATGCTGTGGTGGACCTTCAGAGAACTGAGCAGAAACCAATGATGGAAAGAAAAGTGGGCCAAAAGTCCTCTACAACCATGAGAGACTGATAAAGTCCTAAAGAAAACCACTGAGGTTCTGGTGCTACTGGATCATCAGTTCTTCACTTAAAGCTTTAACTGTTTGTTTTTGTTTAATAAATAACGGCTCAGTTGAATCTGTTGTGTTTTTGTTCATTCAAGATCAGATTTGAATGATTTTAGAACCCGGTAAAGACCTGATCGGTCTTAGTGAGTCCTAAAACCCCAGAACTAAAAGAGGGTGGACTTTATTTGTCCCATAATGGCACATGATGTCCAAACGCTTGTCTCTCCCTGTAGACGTCGGCTCTCACCGTGTTTGTTGCTGCAACAGGAAGCGTGTCCTTCTCGTCCTGCTCTCTCGCAGCTTCTGTCTCCTCTAACCGGTCTTCATCTCTAAGTGGGGTCGGCGTGCTGATGGACAGGTCCGGCTCCCCGTGGGTTGGATTCAGTTTGTAGTGCCGGTTCAGGCCTCCGGGGCCAATGTAGGACTTATCACAAGTCTGGCATTGGTGACAACGGGACTTGTGGCTGTAGACGAGACTGGAGACGCCGCTGGAGTCGTCTTTTCTCGCATTCTCGCCCTGCTCCTCTTCCTCACTCATGTCGGAATAGTCGTCAGAGTCTGACTGGTGGCTTTCGGCCAGGTCCTCCGTCTTAATGAACTTGTAGTCCTTGGCTTTGTACTTCGGTGGTCTTGAAACCCGACCTGACCGTGTCTGGACCTTCACGCCCTTCTTCTCCTTTTTCTTCCCCTTCCCCTTCTCTTTTTCTTTGCCTCGCTCCCTTACAACAGAAAGTGTAGTTACTTTGACAGACTGTGAGGCGGCGGAGACCGTGCTGGGCTGAGCTGGAGCTGCAACTGGTTTAACTAGACTTTTAATGGAAGAGGAGTCCGTCCCGTTACAGGGGAGGCTAATGAGGGGAATGCTGATGGTTCTGGAGGACGTGGTCAGAGGGGTCTTATTAACTGAAGTCTTAACTGTGGAGGTTGTTGGAGCTCTAATGGAGGGGGCAGCAGGTTTTGGAGCAGGACTGCAGGCGACACCTGCTACGGTTACCGGACTGGTCAGCTTGTGGACCAGAGGGAGCAGAGATCCAACAACTGGAGTGGAGCTTTGCAGCAGCAGCTGGATGGGCGGGTCCTCTGGGTTCTGCTGCAGGAGGATCTGCTGACCCTGGCTGACCACAGGCTGGAGGTGGAAGATCTGAGTGTTGCTCAAACCGCCGCTGGGAGACAGCTTCACCTGCGGGTGGATGACAGCTGCACTCTTCGGCTGGGGGGAGACGCCTCCCTCCTGTTTGGGAGGAACTTGGATCTGGATCTTGACAGGTTCTGACTGTAAGAACAGAAAGAAGAGACGGTTTATTAGAGACGATAGAGATGAGCCGTGACTTTCAGATTCTCAGTCTAATTAAAATGAGCAAATACGACGCTTCACACGACCGTCGCAGACGTTTTATTTTTTTGTTTATTTTCACATGGACACCCAGTTGATTCCAAACTGGGCTTTTTTTTTCATTGTTTTTTTGACAGAACCATGTACCACCCGCCCCTCTCTCTCTCACGAGTGTCCCCAACATTGTTTTCTGCCATTGCTGTTTTATTTTCAAAGTACCAAGTTGAAATTACGTAGATGGCTTCACTGTCAGAACGCAAACGTTCCCCTCCACACTGACCCATCAGATCAGTTAAAATATCCAACAGTAATTTCTGCCTTTTTTAGTTTAATTTCTGCTTTTCTCAGTTATAGATGAAAACCAGTGACCTGGACTTTAGGTCGACATCTGAAGAGGTCAGCTGGAACTAGAAAATGTTGAACTTTTATCACTCAAAGGCAACAATGTTTTTGAAGAACTTGGGCGTTAATAAGACATTATTGATCATTTACAGGTAAACAAGCACTGACTATTATAAACAGGAAGAACTAAAGAAGCATGTCAGATTAGACAAACCTGAACCAGATGTTTTGGTACACGTTTAGCCTCAGTTTTGTTTAAGTATACATATAAAAGTACTTAGCACATTCTTAGTTTAGCGAATTTCATAGTTCATATCTTAGCTCTTACTATTGTTTTTCTTTATAATTTATACTTTTGTTGGATGTAACTGGGACCCTGTGTACTGTTTCGTTCCACCACATGTGATGAGAATGACAATAACGAAACCTTATCCTTACTTTGTTTACACTGAGTGCAGACCTGCATTTCAGAATTACATGTGTAGTACTCTTTAAAACAGCACTATTTGTTTAAATATATTTCAACATAACATAATGTTTGAGTTCATAGTGTGAATGAGTACATTTAAACCTTTACAGTCCGGATCTTTACCAGACCTGGGTCAGGGTCTCGAACCCACCTGAACAGGACTGTACTGCAAAGCAACGTGTTGAGCCACAGTCTTCAGCTGCTGGGAGGCGTTGTTGTTCTGCTGAGGACCCTGCTGAGAGATCTGGACCGGGTTCTGGGTCTTGCTGACCTGGTCGATGACCTGCTGAAGCTGACTCGAGTCCAGGACTGTTTTCTGCACCGGAATGGTCTCCATCAACTGGGTCTGCTGGAACAGCTGGGCGGCTTCGGTGTCGGAGACCTGCATGATCTGGTGCTTGGAGATCTGGTTCAGAACAGCCTGCTGCTCCTCAGCGGTCAGTCCGGACCCCCCCTCTAACAAGGTGCCATCCGGCTGCACGTAGATGATGGTGGTGGTGGACAGGTCGGTGAACTCCGTGCCCACCATGGTGCTCTGCTCCACCGGGAAGACGCTCGCTAACAGAGCCCCGGACCCCGCTGGTTCAGTCTGGACGGTCCGACCCGCACTTGAAGACTCGGGCTCCTGCCCAGGCTGGACGGTGGAGTCCGGGAGACCTTCTGCCCCCTTCTCTCCGGTGCTCGGGGGCTCAGGGGGATCCTCCGCGGCTGCTATTGTTATAGTCGCTGCGCCGTTACCCTCGTTTTCCGCCATTTTGGCTGCGAGGTTTACAGTTAGTTCGAAGCGGGGGGGGGGGGGGGGGGCGTCAACCTGCTCAGTCGGTATTCGTAAATAAATAAATAGATCCAAATAAAATCGGAGTCTGCTGCTGGATAAAGCACTCCGCGGGGAGTAATGACGACATTAACCAGACCGGAGGAAATCGCCGTGAGGAAAGTGTTAGCGGGAGGAGTTTTAAACTAGCCTAGCTTAGCCGTCAGCGCGGGAGCGGAAGTTCAGACTTTCTGGTCCGGATCTACCGTCGAACTGGATTCAGAGGTTACGTTTTTAACTAGAAAAACAACAAAAATAAGAAGAAATGCCGAAACCATATATAAGGAAGAATAAAGTGAGAAGAAACTAAATTCAGTCAGTCACCGTGTAGAATGGAACATTTGTGTTTCTAATGTTTTTAAATAAAGTTTGCGCTTTCAAACGGAAGTCGCATTCGAAGTTGACCCCTCTCGGTTACCGTAGGGAGGCGAATCCAGTTCCTTGTTTTCCAATTAGCAGTGACGGAGGTCCCTCTTCCTGACGGTTTGTGAACGTTGAAACGATGGCAGTGCAGCAGCCACGGAGGAGTGACTGCACGCCTCAGAACACACCTGTTTCTTGAATCAGCTGTACGAGATTAAAAAATATACGCATAAGTAAACAAAGCGTAGCTTAAGATGTTGCCACCTTCGGCCTGCAGGAGGCGCAGTTTGACGGCGTTAAGAGAGCTTTCTGACACGCACTGGGCGATGTCAGCTGTTCCTTTTAATTAAGTCGCGGCTGAAGATCAACATCTGGAGGACATCATTATCATTCTGTAGGTACCGCAGTCTTCCTCTCCTTGCTGTCCGTCTGCTCTGTTTGCAAACTTAGCGTATGCTAGCTAGCCTACATTAGAGTCTGTAAACAACACGCTAGCATAACAATCAGCTGTCATTTAACCCAGGCCACAATTAGCCCTATTACAAACTCCATTACGCTTATGAACGATTTAATATTTTAATACATTTTGATAGGAATACGTGTGATACAAAGCAAAATATCCATGCTGCTCCGTGAAGTAGTTTGTTTTGTTTCATTCGGGGTTGGTCAGGACAACAAAAAGCGATCATTTATTTTTTAAACATGTGTTTTATGACGCCATGTTCACCCCTCCACATTATTTCATATAATTTGACAGCTTGTTATTTTAACTAAAATATAACAGCAGGATGCGGCATGAGACATATAGTGGTTAGTGCTTTTTATTTTGTTTTTTTCCTGGATTTTTTTTTAGATTTCTTTTGTTTACCTTTGACGTCCCACCCTCTGAGACTGCTGTAACAACAGAACCCGGGGTCCAGCTGGAACGAGCTAATAGATATTTAACCAGATGTTAGTAGGAATAAATGTATTTATTTGAGCTTGTATGTATGAGACAACATCCACAATAAATTCAAGCGTGTTTAAAATAATTAATGAAGTTGTATAATTATTCCAAACTGTTAGCAAAATATCTCACAAACCACAGGACAGATTTTAATGAAATGATATTGTTTCCGATGAGATGGTCTCAGTTTAAACCTTGGAAATGTTGGGTGATGGGCTATTTTTTATGAAATCTTAAAGGAGCCACACGTGGTCTCTGACCTAGAATGATGTTTAAACTGTGTCATGTTTTATTTTCCAGGACCTGCTGAGTTGTAAGGCGCATCATGACAGCCCAGCCGCCTTCTCCCTCCATCCTGAGGGAGTTCAGTCCGCTCTATTACCTGCTGAACGCCATCCCAGCCAAGGTACAGACTCTTTTCAACCTTACAGCAACATTAAAGCCACATTAGCCGTCAAAATATGCAACTTTTCAGTGTTTTGATGTTTTATTTTTATGCTTCTAACAATTTCTACATCACTAAATTACATTTTGGGGAGATAGATTTTACTTTAACTCATCATGATGTTTTGTTTTGTGAAAATTTTACAATCAGCCACAGAAATTGTCCATTTACAGTTCAGAATATCTTAGCACAGCTCTTTTGAAGATGATCTCAGCTCCAACTTTAATTTTAACACTCTCCATCGCTCGATTTCCTCTGCATAGTGGCTCTCCTGTCAATTCTTGTCCTCGTAGCTTTTAGTCTCTGTTTCTTTTCAGAAGATGCATATTTAAGAGTTAATTTAAACAGATTACACAAACTTTTTAAAATCATGTAATTTGACAGCTACATGTATTGTGGCTTTAAGAACGTAAACCCAAACGCAGGACAAAGCTCTTGTCTGGTTCTTTTAATGTTACTGATGTGGACTTGTGTGTGTCCAGGTGCAGCGGGGCTTCAGGTCTGTCCTGGTCTACCTGACGGCTCTGGACAGCAGCTCGGACTTCCTGGCGGTGGGCAGCAGCATCGGCATGCTGTATCTGTACTGCCGCCGCCTCGCACACATGAACAAGTACAGCGTGGAGGTCTGAGCTCTGCTCCTCTTCGGTTCTGTTGTAACCGAGTTTATTGTGTGAATGCTGTTTTTCATCTCTCTACATTCTTTGCAATCAAACATTATCCTTTGTAATATTTCAGCCATTCATATATGAAAACATTCGGCTCGTTCAGGTGACGGCTGCTGGGACTTTTGGTTTTTGTAACGATTATTTTACAAACATTCTCTTGTAGAAATACAATAAGATCTCTTCCATTCTGAACATTGTTCCCTCTAAAATCTGCTTTAGCATACTTGACTTATTTTTTATCATTTTATGCCTTTTTTAGCTTTTAGCTAATATTTGGCTACTTTTTGCATGCTTTTTGATGCTTTTAACATTTATCTAGCTTTTTGCTAAATTCAGTTAGCCTTGTGCTAATTTGATCTTTTAGCTACATTCTTGTTACTTTTACCTATTAGCTACTAAATTTAGCTTTTATCTCTTGCTTTGTTTTTTGCTTCTACATAACATTCTACTTTTTGCAAGCCTTTTGCTATTTTTAACATTTAAGTAGCCTTTTGAAACTTGTAGCTAATCCTGGACCAACTGTTGTTAACCTTTTGTTGTTTTATCTTTTAGCTACTTTCTTTCTACTTTTAGCTAATTTTTTTACTATATATTAGATTTCATTTGTTTCTTTTGGCTTTTACCTAGCATTTTGCGACTTGTAGCTTTTAGCTGACATTCTGCTACTTTTAGCTTTATGTGGTCTTTTTGCTACTTTTAGCATTTAACTGGTGTTTTGAGATTGTTTTTGTTTGTTTTGTTTACTAGCCCTGCATTTGTGCTACTCTTAGCTAATATTTTGTTTGTTTTAGCTTTAACAGCTCTCAGCATATTCATGTTTCAGCAGTCATTCAGCTCTCAGCGTTCAACTTGTTTAGGTGCTAGTTTGGAGCCGGTGCCTCATTAGCAGCATCATTGTTGCCCTCCAGTGTAAAGCAGGCAATAATGTTTTTGTCCATGTTTTTCTGTTAGAAATGATCTCATAAACCAACAGATTTAACTGAAACGTGGTGATAATCAGAAAAACAGCTAAAACTGATTACCTTTTAAAATCAGCTGAAGTTAAAATGGCAGTTACGGCTAATCTTACCTAGCAAACACAACAATGGTTGGTATTACAGATATTGAGATAAAATTAAGTGTAGCTGTAAAACTGAGATGTAGGCTGCTCACCTGTGGCAGCCATCTTGAATAAGTTTGTTTTCTTTCCTAAAGATAAACTTGAAACTTTGACAAGTTGTGTCTTTAAACCACAACATTTGTGTGGTCAGTCCGGTGTCTTCAGGCTCACGGTGGTAGAAGTCGTGTTTTAGTGAGTCCAACTGAAGAATTGTGTGATTTAAAAATGACAATAATTTCCACACGTGTGTGTCTAACAGGGAAAATGTGACGCCATCACGGCTGTAAAGCTGCTCAGCTGTTTCGATGACCTGGTGGCGGCTGGAACAGCTTCGGGTCAGGTCACAGTCTTCCAGCTGGTGTCTCTGCTTCCCGGTCGGAACAAACAGGTAAGCAGGTCCGTCGTTGCAGCACGCCACGAGTTCTCCACAGCTTTGGCACGACTGTTTGTTTCTGTTGCAGCTCCGGCGTTTTGACGTCACTGGCTTCCACAAAGGCTCCGTCACGTCTCTGACCTGGAGCGCCAACGGGATGAAGCTTTTCTCCGGCGATGACAGGGGCCGGGTGGTGTTCTCTGTTCTGGACCTGGACCAGGTGAGACGACGCAACGCGACAGAAGTTGCGTCGCACTTCGGTACGACTTGCTGTTTGACTGGGGACGTGTGTGCAGGGGGTGTGTAAACCTGTGCTGCTGCTGGAGGAGCCCTCAGGTGTGGTGCAGATGGAATACAATCGCCAGATATTACTGGTCTCAACGCAGCAGAGGTCTCTGTTGTTCTGCACACAAACACAGGAGGTCTCACAACTGGGCACCAAATCACACAGGAGGTACGTCATACGTGTGCTAAACAACATGCTCACCGAAATAGTTACAGAAAATATGAGCTCTAGATGAGATCTGTGGTCTCCATCTTGCTACATCAGAATCAGAATAAGCTTTATTATAATTGCACTGAAATACAGCGAGATTATGCTTGTACGGTCGTCCAAAAGATGGGCACGTGGCTGCTGCTCCTAAAAGCGCAGCCACTTATTCTTTAGATAAAAAAGGGGAAAGCCATGAGGAAAGGATAGTGGTATTGCAAAAAAGATTTCTTCACACTTTGCCCGTGTCAGGACATGATTTAAGACATCAAAAAACTCTACCAGCAGCACATTTATAGACACATTACATATGCATTTGACGACAAGATGGTGAGATTTGTCCATGAAGCACTTCCAAAACAGAGCCTTCTTAGTTTACACAGATCCCATGAGAAATTTGATAAGTCAGCCTGCTTCAAGGCCCAACGGGGGAGTCAGATTCAGATAAGCCACAGTTGTTGATTTCTTCAGGCAGACTGTTGTTCCTCGTCAGTCTTGAGTTCTGCTGGTACTTACAATATCCAAAATGGCCAGATTCGTGAGCTTTCCACTGGTCCGTGCTTATTAGCTCCCTCCAAGGTCGTCCCCAACATGCTGGCAAGTCCCTGAAGCCGCAAGTGGTCTGCGATTCTCATAAATCGCTTCCATCTTACGGTTGAGCTTGTAAATCATCGAGTCTGAGCGCTCGAAGCACGAACCAAACCTTCACATAAGGTCGGCAGCTTTGCCATGGCCAAAACTGCTGCCGCCGTCTTCTTCAATAGCCGATAACATAGGTATACGACGGTGCCAAAAAGCAGAAACCCTGCTATCATAGGTCCAATGATATAATGTACCGCTTTGTACAGTTTAAACGTTGAAGCCATACATTCGTCACTACTGTGTCATCCGTTCAAAATGCTCAGAAATAGTCTTTTTTTTTATTTAAACACACATTCACACATATATATATAAATATATATAATATCTATCTATATATATAAACACACACATTATCATTTGAGGAAAAAATGCTTTCCAGTGGTTCTGTTGTTAAAAGTATAGTTTTCTTAAACTACTGGAGTAGCCCAAGATTAATCTATAGAGGTAGAGGCCACCATTGCCCCGTTAAAAACCTTCATTATTCTAAGCATAATTCATTTAGCAAGTGTGTTAAGTTGTATTGTACAAAAAATAAATAATTCTGTATAAAACTACTTACTGAAATCATTTGTATGGAATGATTCAATTAAGTAGTCTGCTTAGAAAATACCTGAGTTGTGTCCTCATGTCTCAAAGGCTGACAAAAGTTAACTGACTTGTTTTGTAGAAAGTATAAGCGAAACATTCAATGAACAAGCCTGGTCAGAGCTGCAGACATCACATTTGTAATGATTTATGAGCTCAAATGGCATCAAACTTCTCCAGTGAAATGTTAAGAATCATTCTTTAAAGAGCTGGGTTTGATAATTATAACAAGCGATGGCAAAACGTTGGCCTCCTTGGCTGAATTTATTGTTTTACTCAAATGTGTCGTCTGCTGCCAGGCTAGCAGTAACCCACGTAGCACCTAGCAAGATGGCGGCCCAGATTCTCGCCTCTGCACACTGACTGTACTGATGTTTGTGTGTGGTGGCAGCAGCGGCAGGTTTGGAGCCTGCTTCCTACCTGCACTCTGTAAGCAGAGCGACCTGCAGGTGTACGCCGCCCGATCTGGACTCAAACTGTGGAGGTCAAATGTCAAAGGTCAGGTGGAGGACACCCGCCTGCTCAAACCACTCTTCAACACTCAGGTACGAACGTCTCACCGACTCAGCTTACCTCAAAGGTCTTTTTTTATTTTATTTTATAAAGACCGCTGCCCAAGGCGAAAAGGGCAGTAATTTTTTTTCCTCTTGTTTTAGTCCACGTTTGTGTGCTCGTTTGTCTGTTAGCAAAATATCTTATGAAAAACTTCTGGCTATACAGTCAGTTTCACAGGTATTGAGCTAAATTTCGATGTGGTTGTAGTACACATATTCTGACGTCTTTTCGAGGTCTGACCAACGCTTCTGTCCGTCTTAGATACCTCAGTTTGAGTTGTTCTCTCGCCCCGGTCCGGTCGGAGCGTACCGCCCTGTAGATCAACAGCTCGGTCTGCTCGGCTGCTTCCTCAAAGAGGGTTGGATCCTCAGCTGGAACGAGTACTGCATCTACGTGTTTGACTGCCTGAATGAGGTAAGAGCTTCGGTTTCTGCGCAGCAGTCAGACACAAACTGAGTTTTATCTGGTTTTGTAACTTGTACCTTTTGAGATCGTTTCTGTGGAACATCACCCGATGCCGTAATTGTTCTGTACATTTCTGCAAATTAATTACGTCGGCATACTTTGTGCAGTTTCAGCCGTTCGTACATGAAAACAGCTTGTTCAGGAGATGGGAGCTACAAGTTTTGGTTTCTGTCATTTTCTAAATATTTAACTTAATTTGCAAACATTTCCCTGATAGAATTACATTGAGATCTTCAGTCTCAATTTATTCAAAACCTTTGTTCTTTTCAGCTAATTAGCTCTATTTGTGTCTTCTTATGCTACTTTTCATATTTAGCTACTGTTTTGCTATTTTAAGCTTTTAGCTATCCTTTACCCACATTTAACTAGCCCTTTGCCACCATATGATGCAAAATGGTCAACAGTGTAAAGGTTTCTAAGATAGGAGTCACCTGTTCTACCCAAACAACACCCTTTCTCTTTGAGCAGCACTGCTGTTGGCTTTCCGCCCTGGCATTGTGTTAGCGCATCAGAATCTAGTAAAGAGCAGACGGTAACATTTTTCTTTTTCTTTTTTTTCCCCAAGTTTAAAGCAGTTGCTTCATTCCATGTTTAATTAAGGTCATAATAGGAGCGTTGGAAAGCAGTGGAGACATAGTGTCGGTGTCGGCTTGTGACAACGAAATCTTCATCCTGAAGGGAGACCGAGACATCATCCGTCTTTCCAACACTCCTGAGGGCGTCGCGTCCAACCGTGAGAGCTACTACCACTGATAATGATAATAGTAATAATAATAATACTGCAACAAATGTCAATTAAACATTTCCATTTTGCTTTTCCTTAGTGCCACAGCTCTGGAGTCATCTGTCTTCACCTTTGACCTCACCCCTCGTCCTCCAGCCAACCGGATCAGTGGGAACAGCTCAGCCAATCAGAACGGTAGCCATTGTCGTGGAAGAAGGGGACAAAGGGGAGTCGGGTGGCAGCGAGAAGCTGTCTCAGGAGGGAAGGCGTCAGGATGAGGAGGGGGAAGTGTTAGTGCAGGAAGCAGAGGAGCTGGACGACCAGCTGGAGGTACTTTGGTCACATTTTGAAACGGGCTAAATGTTCTGAGATCAGGACCTAAGTGTCGCGGGATGAATGCATTTTGTAAACTAGACTGTCCCACCTATGGTCTGTGTTTGTCCAGGTGACTGAGCTACGCCGGCCGTCTGGTTCGTTCAGCAGCGTTTGTTGTCTCAGCAGCTCCGTCACTTCCTGCAGCAGTCTTCATGAAAACCCAACAGCTGCTGCTTCCTGCGAGCAAAGCTTCAGACGCTACAGCGCCCCGCTGACTCAGGACCGGATGCAGCAGGAGCTGGTGGTGAAAGCCGTCCGAGTGAACAAGAAGAAGAGGAGACAGCAAGGCAAGTAGATGTGGACATAACGGACAGTTAGAGGGGACGAGGTGTCTTACGGTCTGTTTCTGTCCTCAGATGGCAGCAACAGAAACAGTCTGGTTGAGACAAGCTGCTCAGACTCCGTGTTCGAAGTCCAAGATGGCGACTGTAACAGCGAAGACAGTGGGACTCCTCCGGTCGACCTGGCCTCATTGAATGGCCTCGACGTTCAGAGCTGGAGTACTCTAGAGAAGGAAGCAGGGGATGAAGGTTTGAGTAAAGTTCTGAAGGATGGAGAAGAAGCAGAACGTTCCTTCAGCCAGTCTGAGTGAGTACTGGAGGATCCATGAACTCAGGTCCCATCTGGTCTTCATCGTATTCCTGCTGTTCAAACTGCCTCACGTTTTCTTTCAGCTCTGTCCTAGACCCCAGCTCCCTGCTCCTCCATGGCCTGGAGGATCAACAGAACCCAAAGAGAACCTCTGATCCTTGTTCAGAGGAACCTGCCATCCTCCCAACCCCGGATGTAGACCAGCTGCTGGAGTGCTCCTTCTCCTACATGAAGCGGTCCGAGGAGGACAGTGGGCGGCCGAACGAGCAGCAGGAGGAGTTTCTCAGTCCTTTGGCTGAGTTCAAGAAGGAGATGGTACCTTTTACTACACACCTGGACACTTTTACATGTAGAAATATAAAATGTTTGGACCTTTGTGTGTGCTCTTCAACGAGCCTCATTTGAATTATACAACATAAAACTTTAATGTTTTCTTCATTGTGGATTTTCTCTGATCCACACAGGCTCCTGAGTGGTTCCCAACCCTGGTCCCTGAGGAACACCATCTTGTATGTTTTGTTGCTTTGACACCTGATTTGAATGAATGGGTGATCAACAGATTTTTGCAGAACTTGATGAAGTAATTAAATCACTGAATCAAGCGTGTTGGAGCAGGGAAACAACTAAAACAAGCAGGATGGTGTTCCTCAGGGACCAGGGTTGGGAACCACTTAGTTAGAGGTCCCTCAGCAGGTCCCCCTCAGACTGTTTGTCTCCATCAACAAACTTCTGGCTGATCTCGGATCACGCTTCTTCTTCTTCATCGTCTTCTTGGTGGAGTTTCGTGGTTTTCTGCTCGGACCTGGTTTTAATTGGAGTCCATAAATTATCAGTCAGGTTCAGATCTAGGCTTTGGGAAGACCGGTCCGGAAGCTTCATGTGAGCCTAAGTTATCCAATCAGGAACCAGTTCTGGTGTGTGTGTGAGAACATCGTCCCGTAGGACCCAACTGTGTCCACGTTTCAACCATCCAGCTGTTGGTTGGAGGTGAAGCAGAAGAAGTTGGAGGTGGTCCTCCTCACTTTGGACCACAGCATGATACTGCCACCACTGTGCCTGACAGCTGGTTCAGTGTTCTTCAGGGAAATAGGTGGACAGAGACACTGGTGGACAGGGACACTGGTGTTCTAGCAGTTTCCAGTTCATGACAGTATTGAGTCTTGGTGTCTTCTGGGTCGTTCTTGAACATCTGAACCAGTTTCTTTCCATCTGAGGAGGACAGATGAGTGTCCGTCTGTCCAGTGAGGACTGTCAAATAAATATTTTTTTTATGCTGGCAAAGAAAAACTATCAGCTGCAGTCAGTCGTGATCACTCATTAATAAATTGTATTTCTACCAACAAGTCACAGCTAGAACAAGCTCTAGTGGACCACTAAAATAAAAGTTGTGTAAATGTTTCTTTTGTGTGAGCAGGAGGACCACCTGCCTCCCTCAGACGGTCAGGCAGACCAGATGTTTTATTCCACTGTGTCCAACCTGGACAGAAATCCGAATGTCTCCAGTGACGACGACGACGATATCTACTGTCCTGGTCTTCCCAGTGGAGGAAATGTCGTCTCGTGTCCATCGAATGAGCCTGAGAAGACGGCAGAAAGACAGACAGACCTGGATGCCCAGAACAGAGACAGGCTCAGACCTTACCAGGTGAGACATGAGTCCAGTTCAGGAGGAAGACGTGTCCTTCAGGAAGGTATCACATGAAAAAGTAGTGAATTTATTTTGCTCTCAAATTATATTTTCAATCAAATTGTCTTATTTTATTTGTAGTTGGCAGAAAGTTGGATGGGATACTCGGGTCCAGGATGTGGAATACTGAGCCTGCAGGTGACAGAAAGGTGGGTCCATGTCCTCCGTGTGTCCAACGAGAGAACTTGAGGAGTCTGACCGTCTTCCTGTGGTTTCAGGCATGTCTGGTGTCTGGATTTCAAAGGAGGACTGTTCTGCAGCTATCTTCCTGAGACCGGACTCAACTGGCAACACTTTGAAGACAGTGTCCACCAGGTGGCGCTGTCCCCTTCAGGTGAGCTGCAGACGTGTCCACCTGCTGTGGCTTTATAAATAAAATCCCTAATGCAGAGCTGGTTCACGCTTTTATTTGCTGCTGAAAGTTTTTTGCTATCCAACTACTTCTGCTGATTTTGTGTTATTTTAGCTGCTCATAAATCAAAACGTTCTGTTCGTTCAAGAGACCGGTGCTGTGACTTCACGTTTTTGTAACTCATGAATTTAAAATCTTTAACTTTCGTACATATATTTTCCCCATAAAAATACATGAAGCTCTCCTTAATTCCTTCAAAAACATTTTTCTCTTGGAAACTTCTGAACAAAGGTCTTCTATATTTGTCTTTTTATGTGCTACTATTAGCTTTTAGCTAGAATTTAGCTACATTTAACTACTCTTTTGCTTTGCTGTCTACTAATGGCGCTTTGCTCCTTTCACCTATTTAGCTAGCATTTTATTTTTTTAAGCTTTTAGCATGCTTTTTGATCCTTTTAAATTTCATCTGCTGTTTTTGCCTACTAGGTTTTAGCTATTGTTCAGCTACTTTTAGCCTTTTTCCTTTTGTTGCTATAGCGTTTATCTAGCCTTTTGCTACTTTTAAATTTTTGCTGATTTTGCTTCCTTTAGGTTTAGTTATAGTTCTGCTACTTTTAGCTTTGTAATATCATTTTGTACCTTAGTGTTTTGATCCTTTTACCTTTTTAGCTAGCATTTTGTTTAGCATTTAGCTAGTTTTCTGCTACTTTTTTGTTTTAATTTTTTTAGGAAGCTACTTTTGGCTTTTAGCTAACACTTTTCTACTTTTTACTTTTAGCTAACATTTTGCTACTTTTTAATTTTAGCTGCTGTTTTGCTTCCTTTAGGTTTTAGTAATTGTTACTTTTAGCTTTTTAATGTCCATTTTTACTGTAGCTTTAAGCTAGTGTTTTGATCCTTTTTTCTTTTTAGCTAGCATTTAGTTTCTTTTAGCTTTTAGCTTGCCTTCTGCTACTTTTAGCTTTTTTATTAAGCTACTTTTAGCTTTTTGCTATCCTTTTTCTACTTTTAGCTCACATTTTGCTACTTTGAAATTTTAGTTGCTGTTTTGCTTTCTTTAGGTTTTAGCTAGCTTTTAGCTACTTTAACTTCTTGTTAGGCTTTTGCTACTTTTAACATTTAGCTACCCTTTTGCTGCTATTAGATAGCATTTTTGTTACTTTTACTTTTGAGCTAGCATGTTGTTACTTTTAGCTTTTAACTAGGCTTTTGCATTTTTAGGCTGGACTGGTGCTACTTTCAGCTGTAAGCTATTGTTCTGTTACTTTAGCTTTTAGCTTACTTTTTTCTATTGTTTTTTTTTCATTCAATCAACCTTTATTTAGACAGGTTAATCCCATTGAGCCTGGAGGACTCATTTACAAGAGAGACCTGATTTCAACAAATTGTTCAAATTGTTGATTTTTAGCTAGTCTTTTTGTATATTTAGCTTATTGGTAGTGTCTTGATCCTGTTATCTTTTAGCTAGTGTTAGCTGTAACATATCAGTTTCAGCGTAGCACTTAGCATTAGCTCAATGCTAACAGCGTGTTGTTCTCCAGGTAATTTGCTGTGGAAGGTGGAACAGAAGAGCATGACGGCGTTCGCTTGTGCCAAAGTGTTAGCTAAAGGAAAACGCCACTGGTACAAAGCTGTGGAGCAGACGGCCTTTGTCGCTCTGAGCGATGACTCCGCCTGGATCATCAGGACCAACGGAGATCTGTACCTGCAGACAGGTAACGTCCCACCTGTCGGCGAGACGTACACAGATGGGCCCGTGATATTCAGCGGGATGTTAACATATGGTTTCAGGCCTGAGCATGGAGCGGCCCTGCGCTCGCTCCGTGAAGGTGGAGTCTCCATGTGTGTTCAGCCAGGTGTGTGTGAGAGGCGGAGTCCTCTGGGCTCTGAGTGAACACAAAGCCTTGTTCTACAGAGAAGGACTGAACAGCTACTGCAGCGAGGGCGAGGGCTGGAAGTACGACACCGTCAGGTAGTATTCAGTCCAACTTTATTCGTAAAGCTCTTTTAACACCACAGTGGACCTAAGTGTTTTATGACAACAGGAAATAAGACATGAATTAAACCACAACACTGTCACATGTTCCATAGATTAGGACATGACGTGAGAACATGTAAATGAGTGTTAAACCTCACAAACTAACTTTATTTTATTCCGACTGCTGGACTACTTCAGCACACTTTTAGCTATTCTAATAATTTATAGACCAAAGCTTTCAGTTTGATCTGGGATGATGGCTAAAGTCTTTGTTTTTTTTGTTACTTTTATACTGTTGTGCTATTTTTTTTCTTTTAGCTGTGTTCTGCTGGTTTTAATATTTGGCTGTGGATTTGTTCATTTTCTTTTAGTCATCCTATTTGTAAAAAAAAATAAAAAATCCTGCAGTATTACTTTTTATAATTGTTTATTGTTGTTGCTGTTGTCCATTGTTGTCATCATTCTTTGCTGAAATCAGGTCTCTCTTGTAAATGAGTCCTCAAGGCTCAATGGGATTTACCTGTAGAAATAAAGGTTGAATGAACTTACTGCACTTATCGTTTTAGCCTTTAGCTCTTGATGTGTTTAATAAGCTAATGTTTTGCTAACTTTAACTTTTAACTACTGTTCTGTTGTTTTTAGCTTTTAGCTTAAATTTAGCTAATTTAATGTTGTTGCTGTAGTTTTGCTAACCTTATCATTTAGCCTCTGTTCTTTTCATTTTAGATTTTAGTTTCTGTTTTTTGGGTTAAGTTTTAGCTACTATTCAGGCTCATTTTGGCTTTAATTGATTGTTTGCTATTTTTCGCTTTAAGCTCTTGTTTTGCTAGCCTTGACTTGAACTTTTGGTTTTAGCATTTAGTTCATTATTTGAATTTAAATTTATTTCAGCTCTTAAAGTAACTTTAACTTTTAGCTACTGTTGTGTTTGTTTTAAAATTTAGTCATTTAACTTTTGTTAACTGTAGTTTATAT